TAGACCACCTAAATAAGAATGAAGCACCAATAAATACAGACATTTCATGATTACGGTTGACATTTGAACAGCACAACGTTCGTCCTGTCACTGTAAACATACGGTATTGTGCCTCGTGTAAACCAAGAGAGCCGTCAACGTTTAATATCAACCTTTCAACCTTTTAGAGCATTGTTTTTGTTATTTTCAATTTATTACTCTTTTGTTTTATACTTTTGTTAAACATTTTTTTAATAAAATATTTCAATTAGAAGTTTACAGACGATTTAGTCAACAACAATATTTATTAATGGTATATTAAACCACTAAGAATTTAGGCGAAATTATTTGCAACTATATAAATTATCAAATAACAGTTGCAACAGCAAAAATATTGAGTAAAATCCAATGAAAAAATAATTAAATGATTTTGTTTGATTGAAATAATAACACAAACTTATAATTTATATCTTGTTATTAAAGGTAGATAAAAATTATTATAATATTAAACTCTTCATTGGCAAATTTAAGAGAAAGTAAATATAAAATCCAACGTAATTTGTATCACTTAAGCCTTTAGCCCTTAGAAAACGTTCTACATATGACCAACCAAAAGGTAAGAACCTATGTTTTTAATCTACATGAAAATAATTACATTAAAATTATTTCAAAATCCTCTTAATGCTCTATTTACAGACTATACATTATCAAATATTATTTTTTATACTTATGCCCCTTTTGAAAGAACCCGTATAACTTTACTTTATCAAAGAAGATTGCGGTATGGTTACCGAACAAAGAAGTTGGAAAGTTAATTAGAAACTTATGAAATAAGGTTACCAAAGGAGCAGGATTGTAAATGGGGTGCCCAATTAATAGCTTTTAAGAAGTCTTGCGATAAAATCTTGAATTTAACAAATTATGATTGACATTTTTAGAACATTGTCCTTAATTCGATGTATGATTAATTCTTTGTTATATTGTAAATATATCATGAAACTAATGAACAACTTTATTTGCATGGTAATTATATTGTATCTGATAGGTAGTCGTTAAAGAACTTAATACTAGTTTTTTATGAGGTTCATACATATTGCGGGAATGAATTAATAAACTGTTCAGTGATAAATACACGCGTCAACCAATGTCTCAATGAATGTTGTTGTATTGAATACACATAACATTGTATTCTTGTGTCAGAAAAATGTTGATTGTAAGAGGGTTGTTTTTTTATATTTCTTTTGTACTTTCAAAAGTTTTTCAAAGCTTCTATCATTTTTGGTTACTATACTTAATAACAATGTTTATCTTAGCTTATGATCTGAACTGTAGTAGTACACATCTAAACCCGTGGAACGTTTGAGCAAATTAAACTCGCTATGTGTGGAAATCAAGTATAAGTAAACAACACTCTATGTTGGAATAAAGTTGTTATTTTATATCAAGAATGGTCTACACAATTTGGACAATACAGTATTCAAATGAACTATTTCAAATAGTAAACTAATTCTTCTATACATTTTATATAACTTAACTTAAATATTTCCTTAAAATTATTCTGTTTTTATAAAATTACAAATTCAATGTTTATACTAACTATCTAACATTTACTAAAGAAATTAAATTCAACTCTAGAAGTTTACTTTCATTCTTTACATACATTGCTATAAAATTCTCAATAATAATTAATGGTACAATTTGACCTATTTATTACGTTACTAAACAACCTTTGGGTTTAATGAAATCCAAAATACAAAACTAAAGGTTATGTTTCTAAAGATCTGTAAGTAGTGCATATGATTTATAATACTGAAATACCTTTCAAAAAAGTTAATAAAAGGTTAATAAAAGGTTAAAGGTGTTATTTCATATACAATAACAAGTCAAACATCTACCCTATCTGCCCTATTAGAATGATATGACTTTGTTCTTAAACTTATACATCGTTGGCATCCTTAATTTCACCCGTAAAAGTTGGGAGACAAGGCTTAAGAGAAGTAGAAACAAACAGCTCCGAGTAGACAGAGCCTGTTTTGATCGATTAGATTCAGGCTGGAGTAGCCCTCATTCCACTACCCTTTGTTTAGACAAGGGTTCCAATGAACAATGCACACCTCTGGACGAACTTTAAAACACACATGTATTCATTGTTTGAGCTTGGAGGGGGTTTAAGTAGTGTTTAAGTTTATGTATGTAGATTTGTGTAGCTTAAGGGTTATGAAAAAAAACCGTAGTCTTGTAATCAAAACTTGTAGGTCTAGTACTCAGGATATAAATACGTAACAATATAATTAATAGATCATGTCCGTAACCAGAGATAAATAAACTAGACTATGATCAGGAGTTAGTTTTTTTTGAGGTTAGTTAGAGGTAGTTTTATATCCATGGTATTGGACATGAAGACATGTCCAATGATAATTTTGTTTCTGTTAATACACAACAATAATTGAATTTTTCATCACTTTCTACTCTAACTCACTTACTTCCTCAGAACACCAATCATAACTTGATTTGGTTTAATAATGTACTTTAAGTTTTCAATTAAATATTTTGTCTCTTTTCTGTAAAATAATATAACTCTTCCATCAAATTATTCTCACTGACAATATGGAATATCCTTTTATTTCCTGGGTAAATTAAATACTAAATATTCCGAAATTCATGGTAGTAAAAAGATGAATGTCCACCCAAGCTATATTAAAAAACAATACAGTACATAGTATATATTTCTTGGCCACTGTTGTAGTATATAAATATTCAGAACTGCTGTTGACACATTTACATAATACAATGGAAATCCTAAAATGCCATAGTCATGATTAAATACTAACTTTTTCACCCTTACAACTAACAATTAATTGTATGCTAGTGTGTTACTTTATTTCTGTACAACCCTTACATTAAGTTACAACTGTAACATTTTCTACTAAATGAACAAAATAGCTCAAAGAACAGAAAGAATGGCAAACTAGATAGTATTCAACGACGCCTAGCATTAAACTCGATTATCGGTTAATGAAGATTGTTAGGGGTTGGTAATGATTGATCAAGGGAGGTGTCAAAGTCTGAATAGCTCGCGTCTTATCTCAAAACCCTCCTGTCTTTAGAGGCAAAGAAGTACGTGTCATTTATCGAGTAACTTAGTGCCAAGTTTCTAAAGAGTTGCAAAAACGATCAGTATTAAATATTATCCCTTAATTTTTCTTGTAAAAAATATCCTAGAAATTATAATATCATTAATATACATCTGAATCATTACTATTTTAATTTTTAGCCTTCTAAAAATATTTTCCAATACATTTTTGTCATACAAAACATAAAAATGTATGCAGAAACTATTAGATTTTTATACTCTTTGTTTCATTTACTGGCTACGATTATAATTGTCAATTAATCAATTTGATAATAGTGGTAATATTTTCTCACCATTGGTCTTTTGGTTTTAAAACTGACTTAGCTAAAGAACCAGATGGTCGTGGTAGTAAAACAGCTTTCAAATGTCTTCGAAAGCTATTTTTTATCTACCCAGTCACACTATATTCGTATTAAGCTTAAAATTTGTCCAACAATTGCTAAGCTATACATTGTGATAAATAAACAAGTTTGCAGCACAAAAAACTGACGATGTTCTGTTTAACCAATATTTAAATATTGTGCAAACCACTTTCAGCCCCTTTCAAACAACCCTGAAAATATATACAACGAGATAGATAACAATTCATCACTTGTCAGAACAATCAAAACACGAACTGACAGTAACAATTACAATAACAATATCATGTGATAACATACAAACAATTCCCTACCGTAAAGTAGACTGAAAACAAAGACAACTTATTGCTGCAAGCCAACAAGAATGAAGTGCCAATAAATATAGATATCGCACGATTACTGCGACGCTCTCGACCCATCACTGTACACATCCGGTATTTTGCTTTTGCAAGCGCAGTTTATTTTTATTTGGCTTGACGAATGGTTTTGAAATGGTTTTGTTTGCAATGTAAGTATTAATAAGGTGATACATATTCACATACTTAGACATATTAATAAATTAGACATTTAATTCTATGGCCCCCTAAAATATCAAAATTCCCCCACCCCCCTGGTTATTCTTATGGACAATAACCTTGAAAGTGGCTGACTTTGGTATGAGGATCTAAATAGTTTAGAATCCTGCTAGAGAATTCAACTTTACAATAGTGTACGTTACCAAAAATTAGCCCATACAATTTTTAAAAGTCCCATTTTCAAGACTTAACCCTCCCCCTTCCGAAACTACCTAACACTTTTTTTTACTTCTACAACTCGAAAACGGATCTAGCAAAGATTTGCAAGAATATTCAGGAATTAAACTTTCTAAAAAACTCTTCTAGGCGTTTTTCGACAATCGCGCCCCTTCACCCTACCACTAATGACGACTAACAACTAGGGGGCTTGGGGCCGCCCCCAGCGAGCCAAAGGCGAGTTAAGGGATATGAAAGTGAAAGTCGAGATGTTTTTACAAGAAATAATATAGCTCAAAAGTAAATACCCCCGCCACAGAAAACCTGCATATTAAGTAAATTCCCTCTTGTTTTGGATTTTTACTCATGGATCTCCTTAAAGATTTCATGTTTTATTCTCCATTCAAATAACATTAGAAGAGTGCTTATGTTTGCTGCTACAGGGAAAGTAATTCAGTGTTTTTGTAGTGAAATTTTGATGATTTAGTATGAGCCTGATAATTTAGTAGGTTCGGATCCTGGTCACTGCCGAACACATTTAATCAGTACAGATCACCTTTGTATTGTACCGGCTCACTCCTTGCTTTGCTGTATACGATCCACGTACGTGCGGTTAGTCTGTGTGGACGGGCAAATGCATGGTTAAAATAGGCCGCTAACCTCAAAAAAATGTTTTTTTAAACTTAATTCAAACAGTTTATAAACAAGCAACTTAATTGTTGAATAAGTTCACTTGTTCTCCATAAGAATAACGAGTTTTAAATTGTAATATATAATCAAGGCTTAAGAGGACTAGATTGTTTTAACGGTGTTGGCTGCACTGTACCAATGCCGTGACGTCATTGCTACCTACCAGATTGCCCGCTGAACGGCTGTCTAACGTCATCCATGCTAAAAGTAAGTCATGTTCTATGTTGTGCGTTATACCTAAAAGTAGTGCAGTTCTTTATACATTTCATTGGCGCAGTCGGTAATTACGGATTTCTTTCTATGGATTAAAAAGTAAAAATCTTTTCCGCGAGTGTTAATGGGAGACAAAAAGGACAAAGGAAAAGGATCTACTGTGACGAAAATGTCAGGTATTGGGAAGGTGGGAGAGTTTAATCCCCATGAGGAAGCCATTGAGTCGTATTTAATGCGTCTCAAACACTATTTCAAGGCCAATAGTATTGAAGATGGTAGTAAAGTTTCAGTGTTGATTACTGTTCTGGGCCCTAAAATATTAGCAGTTTTGTCAGATATTGTGTCTCCTGATGAGGTGGATAGTAAATCTTATGAAGATTTGTCAAAAGTATTGGTCAAACATTTTTCCCCAAAGAAGTTAGTAGTGGCGGAACGATACATGTTTTATTCCAGGGTACAAAAGCCTACCGAAACTATTTCTGAATTTGTTGTAGCTATCAAGCATTTGTCTAGTACTTGTAAATTTTCTACATTTCTGAAAGATGCCCTTAGGGACAAATTGATTTCTGGAATTAATAATGAGGTGATACGACAAAAATTGTTGTCTGAAGACTTAGATTTTGAAGAAGCTCAGACTTTGGCTCTCAGGCTGGAACAAGCAGAGAAGCAAACAGGTCTTTTCAGTTCGAAACAGGATGTTAACAGTTTGAGTATGAAACGTGGTAAAAATGTTTTACCTGCTAGCTCTTTTAATAAATCCAATGTAAATGGTTATTTTAAACCAAATATGGGGTTTAATGGGAAAAATAAGTGTTACAGGTGTAATTCAGTGGAACATAAAGCTAATGATTGTCCATATTCTAGTTACAAGTGCAATGCATGCAATATGGTTGGGCATTTGTTCAAGGCTTGTAAGTCCCGAAATAAATTTAACAAGCAGAATTCAAAGTCCAAGAGTGGAAGATTTGCCCCACACAAGGTGCATCATCTTAATTTGGAAGAGGAGGACCCTAGGCCTAGGCCTAACTTGGATATAGTCAAGGAGACTCGGGACTTGTGTTTGTACAATCTAGGCCTATCTGACGGTACAGAAGCTTACAAGGTAAGACTAATGATAGAAGATGTAGTTGTAGAAATGGAAATTGATAGTGGATCAGCAGTATCCGTGTGCCCGTCTGAGGTTTTTGCGGAAAAATTTCCTAATGTGGAATTAAATCATGTAAATTTGAGTTTATTGACATACACTGGTGGGGAGGTGCCTGTGCTAGGCCAAGCTGATGTAACTGTAAAATATAAAGGTCAAGAAGTTATGTTGCCCTTATTGGTTGTGAAAATGTGTCGTAGGAACCAGCCTATGTTGTTGGGAAGGAGCTGGTTGGCCAAGTTGAAACTTGATTGGCGTTCTATTTTTTCAGTAGTATCGGAAGTAGGCCTACAGAGTAGGCCTAGTAATCAAATTAATTTGACTTTGTCTGAGCCTAACCCTGTGAGTAGTGTATCAGGACCTAGTTGTAAGGATCAACTGAGTAGGCCTAAGCTTAGCAGTACAACTGAAGTTGATGTGCAAACGTTGAAAAATAAATATGCTATGGTATTTCAAACGGGAGCTGGAGAAATTAAAGGGGTTACTGCTCACATTATTCTTAAAGACAATGTAGTTCCCAAGTTTTGTAAATATAGGCCAGTGCCTTATAGTTTGAGGGAGAAGGTTGAACAAGAGTTAGACCGAATGGTTAACGATGGAATAGCCTATAGGGTTTCCAGCTCCGAGTGGGCTACACCGTTGGTGACGGTTCCTAAACCAAATGGCGTAAGATTGTGCGCCGATTTTAAGGTAACGTTAAATCCGGTGCTGCAAACAGAGCACTATCCGCTTCCGCAACCGGAAGATATTTTTGCCTCGTTGTCAGGATGTACATACTTTTCAGTAATCGACCTCACAAATGCCTATCAGCAGTTAGCAGTAGCAGAGGAGTCACAACCTTTGTTAACCTTGACTACCCATAAAGGACTTTTTAGATTGAGACGTTTGCCGTATGGGTTGTCGTCCGCACCGGCTATTTTTCAAGCAGTCATTGATCAGATTGTATTTGGGTTACCAGGTACCGTAGCGTACTTGGACGATGTTCTAGTGGGAGGCTCAACACGTGAAGAAGCTTGTAGTAGATTAGAAAATCTGTTTCAGCGTCTGATGGATTATGGAGTTCGGGTTAACGAGAGCAAGTGTAAATTTTTGCAGCCTAAAGTTGAGTATTTAGGCTATGTGGTTTCAGCAACGGGAATCAGCCCCCAGCAAGGGATTGTGTCGGCTATTCGAAATGCCCCGGAACCGAGTAACAAGGATGAGTTAAGGGCCTACATTGGGTTGATTAATTACTATGGAAAGTTTATTTACAATTTGTCATCAAAAATCAGTTGTTTTTATGATCTTTTGAAGAAGGACGTCCCATGGAAGTGGACCAAAGAGTGTTCACGCACTTTTGAGGAAAGTAAGTCATGGGTTCTTGACTCCAATATTTTGGTGCATTATGATGTGTCTAAGCCACTTGTTTTAACGTGTGATGCTAGCCCTAGGGGAGTGTCAGCCATTCTGTCTCATATGGTCGATGGAGAAGAGCGGCCTGTAGCTTTTGCGTCCAAAACTCTTAGCCCTAGTGAGAAAAATTATTCCCAACTACACAAGGAAGCATTGGCGTTGATATTCGGTGTAAAGAAATTCCACAAGTATATTTATGGTCGTAAGAACTGTGTGTTACAGACGGATCATCAGCCGTTAGCGGCAATTTTTGGAACAAAACGTGGTGTACCTAGCCTAGCTGCGGCAAGACTTCAGCGATGGGCTCTCATTCTGGCAGCATACAATTTTGAGGTTAAATATCGAAAAGGGGTTGACTTACCCCACGCTGATGCGTTATCACGCCTACCTCTACAAGATGATGAATCGTTGGAATTGGAGGATAATTATGTTTCACATGTTGAGTCTTGTGTTCAAGTAATCAATTTCTGCAGTGTGAGTGATGATTCTCCGATTACGTCTTTGGACGTAGGAAGATTGACGGACAAAGATCCATTGTTGTCGAGGGTTCGGGACTTTGTTTTACATGGCTGGCGGGAGGTTCAAAATCCTATGTTGCTTCCATTTCAGAGGAGACGATTGGAGTTGTCAGTGGACAAGAATTGTATCTTGTGGGGAAGTCGGGTGGTGATTCCTGAGATGTTGAGGGAGAACGTTATCCAGATGCTCCATGAACAGCATCCTGGTATAACCCGGATGAAGTTGTTGGCTAGAAGCTACGTGTGGTGGCCAGGTATCGAAAAATCCATTGAGGAGACAGTGGCGTCTTGTTTTGTATGTCAAGGCACGAGAAATGCCAGTCCTAGAGTTCCATTGCATCAATGGCCGTTAGCCACGGAGAGGTGGCGCAGAGTTCACATTGATTTTGCAGAAGATCCCACGTCAAGACAGCAGATGCTCATCCTAGTCGATAGTTACTCAAAATGGATTGAGGTGTTTCTGATGAGCTCTACATCTTCCTCCAAGACTATAGAGAAGCTTCGGACTTTGTTTGCAGCCTATGGTTTGCCCGAAGAATTGGTTTCTGATAATGGTACCTCATTCACTAGTCTCGAATTCCGTGAATTCCTTAGAAAGAATGGTGTCAAATTCACCCTGTCCCCACCCTATCACCCGGCATCCAACGGAGCCGCAGAACGTTCAGTTCAGGAAGTCAAGAAGAGTCTGCTGCGCCAGGTCTTGAGTGAGAAGCGCAGTCATCCTACTTCTTTACAGCATAAGCTAGATAATTTTCTATTTTCCTATCGCAACACCCCCACTTCAGTGACAGGCGTGAGTCCGGCTGAATTGTTCCTACGCTGGAAGCCTAGAACTCACTTAACAATGTTGAAGCCAAATTTGCTTGATGAGGCCAGGAAGCAACAGGAGTTGCAAAAACGGGCAGCAGATAAACACAGAGGCTCTGATAGGTCCTTCAGTGAAGGCCAGCATGTGTTAGTAAAGACGGTGAGGCAGGAAAAAATTTCTTGGGTTCCCGGCCAAATTGTGGAGTGTAGAAGTCCAGTAACTTATCTTGTGAGGGTCCTGAACCGCACCAGGTTTTGTCACGCTGATCATCTAAGACCAAGTCAGGTGGAGGAAGAGGAAATTTTGGTTAGAAGAGAGGAAGTGCCAGATCCACCGGAATCAGTGACCGTCAGCGTGTCGCCGGAGAGAGTATCTCCAAGTCGGCAGAGTTTGCCGTCATCGCCAAGGGCCAGAAGTCCACCGTCACCCCAAGGACGGAAGTCGATGGAAGAGGGGCAGCGTCCAGAGGTGCAGTGCAGTCCAACTCCTGTGGTTAGAAGATCGCAGCGGACTGTGCGCAAACCAGCTAAACTGGACTTGTAAGTGTGTATACACACGATTCAAAAAGAAGAATTTTTAGTTGATTATTAAAAAAAATATATATAAAAAAAAGAAGAAAAAAAAATGGAAGTTAAAAAATTGTTTGGTTTTAAAGAACGTTTTATGTTGAATTAAAGTTTTATAAGAAGTTTTAAGTTGTGGGCCAACTATTTTATAAGGGTTGGCGAGTGTAATATATAATCAAGGCTTAAGAGGACTAGATTGTTTTAACGGTGTTGGCTGCACTGTACCAATGCCGTGACGTCATTGCTACCTACCAGATTGCCCGCTGAACGGCTGTCTAACGTCATCCATGCTAAAAGTAAGTCATGTTCTATGTTGTGCGTTATACCTAAAAGTAGTGCAGTTCTTTATACATTTCATAAATGTAGTTTTTTTAAGCTTTCTCCAAGCTTCCTCTTAGGCCCCCGTTCTCATAGTGTGATCATTTTTGCGAACTCGATCGAATAAAATGTAGGTTTACACGTTTATACAAAATTTAATCAATCATTTCTGTTCGAGTTATCGTGCTATCTGAAACACACATATTAATACCGCTTAATATATACTGTTATTCCACTTGGCGAAGTGAATATTATAATTTAAAAAGAGGCCTTCCTTTTTTGCATTCGCATTTCCGAAGTTCCCATCGTCGGCACGAGGGGGGGCGATGTAGGCGAGGGACGAAGTTCGGAATGTAGCAGAATCGTGACTGGATTCATAAGTTCTCTTTTATATGCAAGCAATGTATTACGTGTAAAAGGAAGATCTGAGTATGTAAAATATACTAAATATGTAGGTATCGTCGATGCAACGATATTTGGTGATAGGTTGGAAATTTATTGCAACTTTGAATAGAGTACTGGTTAACGATTTACTACTTGTTTTCATATTTTGTAGTTAGAATTTTTAGTTTATACTATTTGGTCTAGGTTTTTATTTGAGTAGTCTAGAAGAAAAAGTAATTTAATTGACCTTTTTTGAACCATAAGGGTGTCAATATGGGATATAGTTTGAACATTGAGTTTTATCTTATTTGTATGCTTTGAGTGCCCTGGTCTGGATTAAATGTTTCTTTCTTATTTTCAGGTATATTAAAATTTTTTTATATTTGGCTATCAACTCTCATGATGATACAGAATTTGATTCCAGTGAAAAAAAATACTTTAAAAATGAGTTTTCAGTGAATTCAAACGTCATATAAGACAGACTGAAGAGATGTCTAAAATTAGCTTTAGCTGTTCTGAAAGGAGGATAATCTTGTAAGGAAATTATTTTATCCATATTACTTAATAATCACGTGTAACTACTTTGTAGTAGACATTTCTTTCTAACGTTTAAGTTGTAGAAGTCATTACAATAAAAAGATTTTAGTTCAATCGAGTCATCGATAACACAAAGCTTTAAATTATTCATTTTGTTTCTTGCACAATGCCAAGTTAAAAATGAATCCCATGGTGAATGAATTCACCTGTTCAGTCCTCATAAAATAATATTGCACGAAAAAAATAAAAAAAAACATTAGTAGTCTCCTTTAAAGACTCATTCAACCTTTTTCAGTTCAAATAATGGATAAACTTATTTACTTCACGAGCTGAAGGCAACGATACTACATTGCTACCAACATTATGTTTACAGTAACAATGTACGCGACGAAATCAGGGAGGCTGTGGACATCAGCAGGACAATGACCGCACCAGGGTGGCCAACCCCCTGCAATAACTCACAGGGTGAATGTGTCACCGGGATTGCAGCAGTTTGGAACCAATCATCCTCATCCAATTATCTATATTATCCAATTATACTAAGCTTGGTAATAAGCGCTTGAGTGACGTAACTATTGTAATCTGGTGAGTTGTTTTACAAATTTGTGATATATCCTATCGTTAGTATAATTTGTATGCAAGTATGTTCTTACATTTACGATTGGGGTTTTATGATTAATGCCAATGAATTGGTTTCAAAATATAGTTTACATGTATAAATATCGAAATATTATGATTATAATGAAAAAATAGGACTTGTCAATGGGATATTTAATTACCCCAGTTAAATGTTAAGTTTTTACTAGGCATTAAAAACTTTACATCGAATTCAAATTATTCTCATGTTTAAAGATTAATGATTCATGACTTTAAAGATGCAATTTTATGTATGAGTTTTGGTTGGATGTATTCAAACCACATAATTAAATTATTCGAATTGCATCATCTCAATCTCAAACTAAATTCAATTTTTGTAGCGCTTATACTTTTTAGTAAGCAAAGACTATATGTGCCAAAAACATATAGCTAACTATATATATATAGATAATGCTTTTAGATATTATTAACTTTTTAATTTAAATTATAATGTTTATCTCTTTTTACAGATCTGGACATTTTAATGCAACCCGAGTAATTTTATTTGCTGTATAGACCAATAAAACAGCTAGAAAAACTACACAACTTTTTCAAATAATTAATAATTAATTTCCAATGAAACCATCCTTTTAAGTCACATTTATTTTTACCGTATATGTCAGGTTTTTAACACTCTTTTTTGGTTTACAGCCAATTTTAATAATTTTTGTGTAATTAAATACCTATTAAAGTTAAATTATTCCCATGAAATTAAAAAAATTGAACAACATTTTATTTAAGCTTGACGTTTTTTATGCTAAATTATAAATACCTTGACTTAACCTTAAAAATTCACTTTCTTCATTTATACAACTCTCTGACATTTTTATATGTCTTATAAGCAATATATCCATAGAAGTTAAGAGACATAATCGTGATCCATGATGAACAGAATAACGAAATAATTTCTCTACTATGATTCTTATGACGCAAAGTAAGTTATTGTCTACAAATGCACGTTATTGGAGCCAATAAAATGTTAAGAGCCGCGATACAAAGACAATAAAATATAACGACGGATGTAACACAACACATGTCCAAACAACGGACCCTCCCATTGTTGTCGTCCGTTGTAGTGTTCTCCAAATTTGTAAAAGTCATGGAACAATCAGGCTTTTTTTATTGAACTCTCGAATCGCACAAAATATGTCTTGTATGCATGCTTTGACTTTTATCGATAAGTTAGGAGTTTTTTTTACTGAAATTAGTTTGTATACAGAGTGTTTGTATACAGTGTTTGTACCAGCACTTATGGTTGGCATAGATGTCGTACGCATTTCTGTTTATCCATAAACTCAATTCAATATGGGGGTTTCTCTTGAAAATCTCTTTTTCAGGGTCCTACAAAGCCCAAATTCACGATTGTGGTGTCATTTAAAACTTATGATCTAGCAGAGTCAGAGTGACGAAACATAAGGAAAAAAGGTAATTTACTCAAGGGATTTTCCCCCTTTGCGTTTCAGTATTTTTAAAATTAACTTTAAATTTCCAGTGTTGCTGACCAACTTTCTTCATAACCGTTTTTTGTATAAATTGTAATCTAATAACCTATCCTTTTGTTGATACAACCACGGTCGGATTGTAAACTAAAGACGAAACTGTTTATGAAAATGAATTGTAATATGGCTCCTTTTTCAGAACCAACTATTGTGGTTTTATTCAGCATATTTAATAAATATATCCAAAAATTATAATTTTGGATAAGTAAGAGGGCATTGTATAATTTATTTTTCTTCGGAATGGAACCCTATAAAAATCTGCAATTTGCGCTGGGGCTTGTTATAGACTAATACTTATTCAGTATTATACATTATTACTAGATATTATTATACATTCTAATATAATAAATTACTTAACACAAATATATATAGGTTCACATTTGTACGTGAACATACATTTTTAGTTTTAAGTTATTCTGTACATTGTTACAAGGAGATAATTAAATTTGTGTTAGTATATTGAACCAGTACCAATTGGAGATACACAAATTCAGTGCATGTCAAGTTCAGCCTGATGGCTTATGAAAGTGTATCGCTATGGTAACATCTTATTTTTACAGCACACGTTAAAATACATGTTAAAATAAACTGTCTGGGTAGCTGGGTTATGATGCTCGCATAACAATCAAAACGTTACCAGTTTCGGTTTGATCCTGAAAAAATCAGTAGCTCAGATGGTTCGAAACCGGACCCAGCTGTTCCTGGTCATTGGGTTTTAATTAAATGATCCTGATTGATAAACCAGCTGATCTTAGTCAGTAACAAAGCTACAAAAATCATCCCACAACATTCTACCATAGAGAAAAAGAATTAAATATAGACCCTCAGCTGGGCTGCGGTTACCACAGGTTCTGGTGCACACCGCTGGGAGCGCCATGTAGTAACGGCCTACAAGCTACGTAACTACACGGTGCTCCCAGCGGTGTGTGCCAGAACCTATGGTAACCAAGGTAACCACTGAACGGCTAACAGTCTATATTTAATTCTTTTTGTCTATGATTCTACCTTCAGTCATCCTTTACTAAAATTTTCGTTAAAATACGCACCTAGGTGGCGTCCCCATCTCAAATAATTTATTGACAAATATAACATAGTCTTAGAATTATAGCATTTCAGCAACTCGAACAATAACACCAGTGATCGGGCAACGCTAATCTAGAAGATATTCAATATGAAAACCTCAACATTGATATTTTAGTAATCCTTTTAGGTTTCCACACGAACTTTCCATTTTGGTTCTCACAGTTTATAAATATTCAACATGTAATATGATTTGCCGCCGTCTCTCGGCAACGATATTGGCAAATCAAACAGCAAATGTTTAGCAAGTTAAATGAACGATCCCATGTTGACATAAGCGTCATATTAAACGGGAAACGGATGTTCCTACCACAATGTTTGTAATGCGTTGTAGATTAAATCCGGATATTTCAAAACCGAATCGGGAGGTAATTTTTCGGTGATTAATCTTGTTCAATATTGTACAGTAAAAACCAATACTTACTTTATATATCAAAACTGATTTTGTTTCAAAATTGTACTATTCAATTTAGATTGTTAGTAGTCCAGTCAATAAAGGGATTGTAGAGGACATGGAGAGGGG